AAAAAAAAAAAAAAAGGCCAGGTGCTATGGGTCATGCTTGTAATCCTACCACTCTGGGAGGCCAAGGTGGGTGGATTGCTTGAGCTCAGGAGTTGGAGACCAGCCTGAGCAAGAGACCCCTATCTCTAAAAATAGCCAGGTGAAATGGAAGGCACCTGTAGTCCCAGCTACTTGGGAGGCTGAGGCAAGAGAATCGCTTAAGCCCAAGAGTTTAAGGTTGCTGTGAGGTATGAGGCCACACACACTCTACTGAGGGCGACAAAGTGACACTGGGTCTCAAAAAATAGAACAAAACAAAACGTATGTTCCTCTATACCCAGGGATATACCGCGAACGCTAAACGTCTAACAAGGATGAACTATGAGAAATGTCCAGAAGGCACTATGTGACATAGGCTGTTCCCACAGCCTAGAAAACTCTTATCTCTGGGAGTCCAAGGCTTAGTGGTTAGGGTGCCGGCCACGGGCTCTGGGTTGATAGGTTTGAACCGGCCAGGCTTGCTAAACAAACAAAAGAAAATAGCCAGGCATTGTGGCGGGCGTCTGTAGTCCCAGTTACTAGGGAGGCTGAGGCAAGAGGATCGCTTAAGCCCAAGAGTTAAGGTTGCTGTGAGCTATGACACTACAGCACTCTAGCGAGGGCAACAAAATGAGACTCTGTCTCAAAAAAAAAAAGAAAGAAAGAAAAAAGAAAGAAACTCTTATCTCCTTCCCTCCCAGACTTCTGGGGCGGGGAGAAATTCCTATTTATCCTTTTCGACTCAAAAGTCACTTTCTTCATGAACCCTTCCAGATACCCCTAAGACTAGAACACTTTGGTCACTGTAAGCCAGAGGGGCCTTGGATTTTCCACGTACTATGCCCTGTATTGTACCCACTGTAATTTGTTTACGTATCTGTTTCTCAGTCTTAGAGAAGTTAAAATCTAGACCCTGTGAAGCTGGGAAGGAATCTCACTCGCCTGCTTGCCCTCAGCATTCGCCCTTCGCAGTGCCTGGCAAACGCTTTGCCCCCAGTAAAAGTTTGCTGCGTGAACACCTCCTACTGTTGGGCGGGTGTGAAATCCATCCAGTTAACGGGTGAGTTCCCGGGCTCTCCGCCTGCGTGGCAGGGAGATTTAAAGCCCTGGTGCAGTGATTGGCTCCAACTGCAGAGGTGTGTCCACGCAGGCCCTGCGCGAGCGCGTAGCCTCGGTGCGCGCAGGCGCGACACGGGCGCAGCTCCGGGTCCGGTCTAGTAGTGTCCGAGCTGCGGCGACTGGAGAGTGGTGACCGGAAATGCTTGGTGAGTCTTCAGGAGTAGGACTGCGGAAGCTGGCTGGGGTGAAGACTGGGGGTATGTCCAGTGGAGAAGGAGTATATCGTGACCGTTGAAAAGTTGCTGGGGTCAGGCTTAAGGGGAGGAGGGGCGCTCTGGCCCGGACTCGGCTGATCCGGCCGCGAGAGAGGACGCAAGGGGCCAGGAGACTGTGGAGTGGCTGGCTGTGGAAAGGTGGCGGGGTGGTGGTTCCCTGAACCCATCCTCGAAACCAAGCAGAAATCAACTCCTACCTTCTCACCCCTACTGTGTTGCTGTGGTTGCGATTCATAGACTGTATAGTGACCTTAGTGATCAGATAGCTCTGAGATAATTGTTTGGAGGAGGACTCTGAAGTTCAAGGTATTGGATAGCTCTTGCTCTCTAGGAAAGTCCGCCCTTACTTACCTGACGGCTTTGATACACGAATAAAAGGATCAAAGAATGAGTTTCACAATTCAGGGTTGGAGTAGTTGGGGGGGAGGGGAAGTACTGTAAAGTGCTGTTTCACCTCGTTCTTTTCTTTTTATATCATTAGTCACCATGATGTTAGGAAAGGCAACTTGATAGAAGGGAACTGAAAGACAAAAAAATGGGGAAAAAGATGAGAAGGTCTCGTCTACCTATATAACTTGGCCTGCCACTTAAATACTTAACCATCTTGCTAGGGTATTTTATTTTATTTTTGAGACAGAGTCTCTGTTGCCCAGGCTAGAGTGCCATGGCATCAGCCTACCTTATAGCAACCTCAAACTACAGGGCTCAAGTGATCTACTGCCTCAGCCTCTTGAATACCTGGGACTACAGGTGCCTGCCAGGACGCCTGGTTCGTTTTTCTATTTTTGTAGAGACAAGGTCTCACTCTGTTGCTCAGACTGTTCTCCCAACTCCTGACTTCAGGCTATCTTCCCATGTTGGCCTCCCAAAGTACTAGGATTACAGGTGTAAGCCATTGTGCTGTGCCTACTTCATATTTTACCAACATTTCTTTAACTTTAGTTTTTTCTAAAGTGATAATCTGTGAAATCGTGATTTTGACGTATTTTATACCATTTTCCTCGTACACATTATAATCTATAACTAAAACACACACCTTCCATATGTAACAGCTGAAATCATGTTCTTGCTTTTCACTTTGAAAAATATTGCTTTGAGCCTGATATCTATTTTATTTTTTTGCAGTTCTTGGCTGGGGCTGGGTTTGAACCTGCCACCTCTGGCATATGGGGCTGGTGCCCTACTCCTTTGAGCCACAGGCACCGCCCCCCCCCCCTTTTTTTTTGAGATGAGTCTTACTATGTTGCCCTTGGTAGAATGCTGTGCCATCATAGCTCACAGCAACCTCAAACTCTTGGGCTTAAGAGATTCTCTTGCCTCATCTTCCCATGTAGCTGGGACTACAGGTGCTTGTCACAATGCCTGGCTACTGATAATCATTTTTAAAATAAAAAGAAGATTGGACTAAGGCCAATGGGCTTGAAAATTCTGTGAGCCCTGTGATGGTATTCATTACTGTGACATAATACTAGCAAACTTATCTGGCTGCACCTGATGAAAGTAGATTAGAATAGCAAAGGGAAAAAAGAGGATGTTTGCTCTTTGACATTTTTATGAAATCAGTTGCCTCTCTTTTTTTTTTTACCGCCTAAGGTAAGGCCTTCTACCCTCTTGGTTCCTATATCTCAAACATTCTGGAAATCTATGTTGGGGCCATGTTTATACTCTGCATTATGTATGTGTTAGCATTTATAATACATAATGTTGCTTGTATTCAAGGATGCTGAACTTTTAATTATAGTATTATATTTTGTTTCCAGATCTGTAAGTTGACAGAGGAGCAGATGACAAGGACTGCTCTTTTTGTTCTGGTAGGGAAGGTCTTGAAACAGATCCAGTTCCTGGAACAATTGGAGGAAGTAGATTATGGAGCCAGGAAATAGCATGAAATGTGACTTTTTCAGTATTGGAAGTAAAAGGATTCCATTTGCACTCATTTAAATTCACTGGCATTTTGGTTTGTTTTTTGAGACTCTGTTGCCCAAGTTAGAGTGCTGTGGTGTCAACCTCGCTCACAGCAACCTCAAACTTCTAGGCTCAAGTGACCCTTCTTCCTCAGCTTCCCAAATAACTGAGACTACAGGTGCCCACCACATGCCTGTGTAATTTTTTCTGTTTTTAGTAGAATGGGGTGTCGCTCTTGCTTAGGCTGGTCTTGAACTCTTGAGCTCAAGGTATCCTCTGGCCTCAGCATCCCAGAGTGCTAGGATTGTAAGTATGGATCCCCACACCCAGCTTTGGTTTTCTTTTCAATTTAGATTGTATTGATACTAAAATACTGTATTTAAATCACTGATCTATATTTTTCTGGAATTCCCTCACTGATTTTTGTGAGTTCTTATAACTTTACATTTAAAAGTTTGTTTTAAATTTACTTTGACATTGTTTTGGCAATTACAATTAGTTGTTTGTTTTGTGTTTTGTTTTTTGAGATCAAGTCTCACTTTGTTGCCCTCAGTAGAGTGCTCTAGTGTCATAGCTCACAGCAACTGTAAATTCTTGGGCTCAAGTGATTCTCTTGCCTCAGCCTCCTGAGTAACTAGGTAGGACTACAAGTCCCACCACAATGCCTGGCTATTTTTTTTAAGAGACGAGAGTCTCTCTCTGGCTCAGGCTGGTCTCCAACCTGTAAGGTCAGGCAATCCACCCCTTCAGCTTCCCAGAATGCTAGGATTACAGGCATGAGCCACCGTGCCTGGCCTAATTTTTTTATGGTATCTTTTTATTTTTAATACTTATTATGCCATGAAATCACAGGGAAGGCTCGGCGCCTATAGCTCAACTGGCTAAGGCCCCAGCCACGTACACCTAAGGTGGCAGGTTCGAATCCCCAGCCCGGACCCGCCAAACAACAATGACGACTGCAACCAAAAAATAGCCGGGCATTGTGACGGGCGCCTGTGGTCCCAGCTACTTGGGAGGCGGAGGCAGGAGACTCGCTTGAGCCCAGGAGTTGGAGGTTGCTGTGAGCTGTAATGCCACGGCACTCTACCCAGGGGGACAGCTTGAGGCTCTGTCTCAAAAAAAAAAAGAAATCACAGGGAAAAGATTCCAGCAGCTTGAGGAGATGTCTTTCCATTGAATGTGACAAAACTTGCCATGCCTATTATGCCATGAATTCATGGGGAATAGGTTCCAGCACTTATGTTCCTGTTCCATTGGTTCTCTTGGTTATCCTATGTACTGCTGTACACCTACTATGTATGCCATGAATTCGTAGGGAATAGGTTCCAGCACTTTATGCTCCTGCTCAGGTGGTTCTCTTGGTTCTCCTGTATGCTAATGCTGTACACCTATTATGCCATGAATTTGTAAGGAATGGGTTCCAGGAGCTCAGGCTCCTTTCCGTTGGTTCACATAAAATGCAAGATGCCCCCTCAGTTGAACCCAGGTACCTTTCTCTTTGGCTTCCTTCTTTTTCTGATTATTTTCTTTCTCATGTTTTAGGAAGCTGTTGGGACTCTGATAGTGCTTAATATGCTCAATATGAACATTAATCCTCCTGGCAAGAATCTTGCCCTTAACTTGTTTGTTTACAACAATGCCAACAGCATTCTGGGTAACATTGTAGACTCTTCTAGTTTTGCCCTGGTAACACCTGTGTGGCATGCCTTTTTGAACAGTATCCATTCCCTTGATCTACAATATCTCCTTTCTTGTAGATTCACATGTATGTGGCCAAAGGAACAGCTCCATGTTTTCTAAAAGGCCTATAGAGGCTAGGTGCAGTGGCTTACACCTGTAATCTTAGCACTCTGGGAAGCCAAAGTGTGTGGATTGCTTGAGCTCACAAGTTGGAGACCAGCCTTAGCCAGAGCAAGACCTCATCTCTAAAAATAGCAGGGCTTTGTGGCAGGTGCCTGTAGACCTTGCTACTCAGGAGGCTGAGGCAGGAGGATTACGTGAGCCCGGGAGTTTGAGGTTGCTGTGAGCTGGGACAGCATAGCACTCTTTATCAAGGGTGACAAAGTTAGACTCTATATTAAAAAAAAAAAA